GTCCTCTCACACAATACTCTAGTTCGGTCACAACACTATGGTCGAGATTTTTCCGTGAATTCATGGCAGGTCGTTGAGTTCCCTCACTAGTCAAGGCCATTTTCTGCGCCGATTGGCGCTTATTGCTCACGCGACCCTGCGAATCGCGCAATCCACAGTATCGTCGATTTCGATATCATCTGCAGCTTTCTAATTATTCTGAATGGCTCAGAATATCAAAGGAAGCTCCGTCACAACGGATCCATAACTTAGCGTTTTTATTTCAGATGGCTCGGCCACCCATTGGATATCCATGGCCATCCATCTCCTCGCTCCCTTTAACTCCGATTCTTCGCCGCAAGAAAATGTGTCGCGTACATGGAGCTTCTTCCTCCCATAATTTCTTCTACAATTAGTGTGCGATAATAGCAAGGTTCGATACGGCAGCATATAGTAAAAAAATATACGGAATCATATGACTTGCATGTATTGACCCGGATGAGGCGGTTCCTCAGCATGTATCGTAGCTTTTTTTTCTCGAAGTGGTAGGTCTTCCTTCTTCTGATGGTGGATGAGATCACCAAAATACAAAAAAGGAATAGCGTAACCACGATCACGGTCCGCTATTGGTACAAAATCTAAATGAGGAACTAGACTGTGAAAAGTGTAATTTATCAAAGAAGCGAATTAAAGCATATTAAAAAAGCGAATAATTAGTGTACGCTCGTATGCCCTCCGAGTCAGGAGATTGTAAGACCCTTGCAGAATTATCGAAACAATGACGGATAAAAGTTGTCATATCACAGAGAATATATAATAAAATATTTTATATTGATAAACCGAAATATATACTGCATTAATTACATTTACTTAATAATTGTGTTACAGTAAATGATCAGTTTCAATCCAAATAATGATACTGACGAACATCTCATGTTGTATATGTTGAAAGCAGAAATAGCAGTTACAGTAGAACAAATATCGAAGCGTTAATTAAAGTGTCTTAATATATTACGCGACGAAATTAAATTATCATTTAATTAACACATAATTCGAGTGAATACTGTAATTAATTACAAACTGCGTATTAAATTCGCATTACCGCGTCCAATTTCCGTTTCCTACCTCGCTCGACATATGTGCAATTTCAACTAACGTTCAAAAATATTTTGGAAATAGTTCAAAAATAATAAGTAATTATTTTAAAATGCAACACAAAAATATTAATAAAAAATCAAAAAATTGATTTGATTTAAAATTTAGATTTAAACTTACTTATTAAACAAATGTATTATAATTTCTAAGACGTTAATTATAAGTGACAATTGTAAAATAGAATTCGAAATAAATGACTTTAATTAAAATATCCACTATATTTTTAAAGAATAAACACTGAAAGACAAATTATATGGAAAATAGGATCCTGATGAAATAAGTTGGTTTTCGCATAGATTATAACATGTAATGTTGTGAACAAAAAGGGGCGATTACGATAACTGTACTTTCCAAAATAAATTATTTTTTAAAGTATTTTTCGTAAAAAACACGGGAAAAATAGTAAGAAAATTTTATAATTAATATTTAATTTAATAATCATAATTATGATTGATAATAACATTTTGCTAAACAATGATTGTCGATTAAAATGTTCCAGGACATTATTCAGGACATTAACTTTGATAAGATATGTTAAGACTTTCACCTCACCTTCTCCCCTCTGCTACGAGGTGCACGACTTTCCACACGAAGACTCCCAGCCACCTCCCAGCCTACTACAAGGTGCAGAACTTTCTACGCGAAGCAAAATCTTCTCCATTTTTTTCGTTTAATTATTAGTTATTTTCGTATCTGGTGCTTAGAGATTTTTTTTATTATTTTTCTCATATTCCTCGCTAGAAATCAAAATCCAAATAATAGCATCCAAAATCACTTTCATTTCGAGGGGGCCACAGTTATCGTAATCGTATCAATAAAGAATGTTATGACAATTAAGAATTAAGAATTTCTTCTACATAAAATAATAATAAAATTATAAAATAAGTAGTAAAAGTTAAAACGTTTACTGCCTATTTTATAATTTTATTATTATTTTATGTAGAAGAAATTCTTAATTCTTAATTGTCATAACATTCTTTACGACGCAAATATATAATAATAACATAAAATATCTCTTTATTCTTTTACATTCTTTGTATAATGTTCATTTTTTTCTTGAATATTCTTCTACAGCGAATTATTTATTGAAGTTTATTTCTTTTAAACAATATAAAATCAAGTTATCGATAAAAAATATAAATAGCTGGATTATAAAAAATCAAGATAAAATTGGCACATTATAAAAATGAATATAATTAATAATAATGATTAACGTATTCCATTTTTATTTAAAACATACATAAATTGGAACACACACACACACACACACACACACACACACATACACACCCACACACAGTTTTACAATTGTAAAATATTCCATTCTTTCGTTTATGTTTGTACATATTGAGAAAATGTCTAAATATTGTTTCTATGCACTAGTTTTCACAATATTTTTTACTACAAAAGAGAACAGGCAGTAGATTTTATTAAAGATATTTTTAGGAGAAAATGAGAAAATAATTTAACATGTCTAAATGTTTATAACTTTCCTCATGTTGTATAAATATTATATCAATTATACGAATAATACTTATTCATCTATTTATACTTATTCTATCATATTTCCTCTCTCTCTCTCTCTCTCTCTCTCTCTCTCTCTCTGCCTCTCTTTATTCCTTTCTTTTATAAACAATTAATTCAAAAAAATTTAATCAATTATAAAATACATAATGTCACACAAAGTTCTTCTCAAATAATATTCTTAACGTATATAATCATCATAATATCTTTAGAGACTCTTAAGAATATTGTCTGTGGTTGTCAAAAATGTCAAAAAGTGTGAGCATGATACCTTCGGCAGATAACGGTAAAAACAATTTTTTCCCTTAAAAATCATATTATAATTCTCTCTCAACTCTTTACTAAGCTTATTTTACTCATGAAATACGTATTCTATTTTTTTTTATGTTAATTATGCAAGTTTGTCTTAAATTTCAAACAACTCGAATAGGTGTCTCATAAATTAAGATTTTATTATGTAAGAGACACATACAGCTCAATATATAATGTGTCAATAAAATAATACAAATTCATAATTCTGTTCCACGAGTTTAATAAGTCGTATATTAAAAAAGAAATAATGTTATGTCAACAGCATTATTTTAATTCAAAATAATTTTCTTAATTTGTGCACACACACACACACACACACACACACACACACACACACAATAATTGTTAATGAAACAAATACATCATATTCTTTTAATAAAATTTTATTTGTACTTTGTTAATACGGTTATTATGTATATAAATGAACAAGATTATTTTTAATTAAAATAATGCTATTAATATATAATACATCATTTTTTTCAATGATGTGTAATTATTATAGCAGTGAATATTTTCCAGATTCATATAGTATGATTGACCACTTATAGTCTATACTAGTGCTGGAATTTATTTGCAACTTTCAGCCAAATTGGTCATGCCGAAAATCGGCTAAAAGTTGCAAGTAAATTCTAGCACCAGTTTATTCATTATAAAGTAATGGATCCATAAGATTCTTATGTTGAATATGACATGCAATAATATACTGGGTGATCCGAAATTCACGAATTTGGAGTACACGATATGATATTTTATGCTAAAACAAACAACTTTTTCCTTTAGCAAAATTACGTCCGATAAATAATTTTTGCGCTTATTTGTTAATTTCAACTTGCTCTCCTGCAAAAACTACTTGTTAGATGCAATTTGCAAAAGAAAAAAGTTTCTTTTAGCATAAAGTATCATATTCTGTACTCCAAATTCGTGAATTTCGTATCACCCTGTATACACATATTTGATCTCATTTTTATAGACTTATAATAATACCTTTCAAATAGAAATAAAAGATTTGATACCGATGCCCAGCAATTGCCCCGGAAACTAGAGGTCCTCTAATAAAAGTCGTGACACGAAGAACAGAGACTCTAGTTAGAGATTACTCTCTTGACGATCTCTTTTTCTAGTTTCAACAAAATCATAAGAAAAAGAAAGGAATACATTGTCTCTTTTTTTAACCTTGATAAGTTCTGAATCGTTATACTTCTAATCTTGAGGATTATTATGTTTTATTAGAAGATTATTAAAAATAATTGCAAAATGGTTGGGTGTGCAGCCCCATTTTGCACAAATTCTGCAACTAGAGGTTAATGAAAATATTTCTACGTGATGCTAAACGTTGTGTATTATAGGCAACAAATGTTGAAAAAAATTAGAACGAAAAATGCACATCTCTGTATTTATCTGATAATAGCTTTAAAATATTTAATCTTGTTTTGTGTGTTTGATTTTAATAATAATACACACACACATATATATATATATATATATATATATATATATATATATATTTTGAATATTTATAATTTTGAGGGTAGTGAGTTTGATTTTATTATCAAGATTTTGAATGGATGATATCCATATCGAAACACTAAAAATCAATTATATCGATTCAAAGTAGACCTTATTAATTAAAAAGAAGCGATTCTTTATAAAGATATCGGTTTAAAATGGCCCCATTTTGATTGGAAAAAATTTTTCGCAAAAAGGTTAGTTCACAAATGATTTTTAGCGTATCAATACGCCCATTCCAATATAGACATTCAAATATAGGCCGGAATTGCTAAAAAATAGCGGACCAATAAAAATTAGCCGTTCAGTGGCGTAACTCTCATTAGAAAGTCTCTAGTTGAAACACAAACTATAAAATAATAATATATATTCAGATTACAATTACGCTCAAAATAATTACAATAATATTTCAAAAAATAATCTGTGTATTAAATAATCATCAAAGATATAGCAAGTACTAAATAATATATGAATAATAAAATATATTTATCTTTTATAGTTGCTCTGCCATCGCCTGATACCTCCTAGATATTCTCCTACTTTTCCTTCTGCACTTCTCAAGTTCTTTAGTTTCTGCAACATAACACACAATACTCATGTAAAAATCATTAATAGTAATCGCGCAAAATTCTCAAACGCGGAAATTATTCAATAGTACGAACTGATAACAACAATTAGAAAACAGTTATGAGTTTTTTAATACTGATTACGATGACGCACCAAGAAATAATGCGAAGGCATACGTTTCACTATTGTTACGCAAGTAATAGTAGAACGACTTGCAAAAGTTGTGTGAATACTGCGCGCCATAAGTTATAAAAAACGAGCATCGAACACTGCCATGCTGCGCAACAGTCGTTACAAAACATTCTGTGTATTTTTACACGCTGCAGTATATTCTTTAATTATAATATATTCTACTTTCTATATTTCATATTGATTATCGATAAATCAGTATATGTTTACGAACAGTATTCCGTTATTTAAACTATACAGACCCGTGCATTAATCTCAAACTCCATTCACTCTCAATTTAAAATTGATAAACAAATTACATATAAATTAAAAGAAAATTCGAAACAATTTTATCGTATATCTCAATGCAAGCATCGTTAATGATATAATGATCTCAATGAGAAGATAAAAAGCACTTTTCAAAACCTACTTTTCCAAAATCAAGCTTTCTATATTCTCATTTAAATCATTATATAACGTCACTAGAAGAATATTGTTTCACATTCGAATTAGATACTTGTAATACAGAAAATGATACTGATATTAGTTTTTTCTGCTGTGCTTAATGCACATATGTATTCTGTTTTGACCATTCAATGGTCAACTCAGGTCAAAGTCAGGACCATTTAATGGTCTCTCGCGAGCGTGCGTGCGTGCGTGCGTGAGAGCAGGATGCACACATGCATTTATACACGCACATACACTTACACACGCACATACACATACAAAATAAGGTTCAATTCCGATCTAACAAATTCTATGCAGTTCATATTGAAATAAATTACAACTATAACTTGAGCTAATGACAGCTGTATCTTAAATTTGGAATAACTCACTGAAAAATGATTATATCGAATTCCGTAAAAAAGTATTTTAAAGATAAAATTCCATACTTTCATGAGTATTTTGTCTTAGACTGTCATACTTGATTGCATACCATCGTGACAAGCGCAGATCTTTGATTATCAATTTTCCATCTTCTCACTTTGTCATCTGACATTTTGATAATAATGGCCCAGTATAAATCTCATTCAAATATTCTTAAAGTGGTAAATATTCTTCAAGCTTTATTTTACATTTTTAAACATATTTTTATTTTCATTATTTATCAAGTTATGATCATTTAAAATTTGGTAAATTTTTCCTAATTTTTCAGTGTATCGCTTTTTTTGCGGTTGAGTGTAGATTGGAGCATAATTATGATTTTGAAATCACATAAAAATTTTAGATAGAGAAAAGAATTATAACAAACGTCTTATTTCAGAATCAATTTTTATTAACAAACAAAAAAAACGGATTAAATGTGCAGGAGGACATAAAATTTTTAGATCCACACACATTACATCAAGATCTATTTAAAAAAGCTTGACATTTCCATGTTTTATTTCTTTAATTTATTGTATAAACCGTATATATTTTATTTATTTATTTACTCCTGCCATATCACCTATGACTAGCGATAATCGCATATTTTAATCTCTCATATATTCTTTGAACCTTTTGGTACTAACATGTCTGATCTCACAGATCATCATTAACATTACGTAAGTTTTTTATTTTAAATTGATTTAATTAAATTATAATTCAGTAACTTATTCGAAACCTTTATTAAATTACAGATAACTTAAAATGTAAGATTTGAGTATTCTGTTAGATATAACAGACAGCATTATTATCATATTACAAATATAGTGTTATGCCTGTGCCTTGCCGACACATATGCAAGCATTGCCGAGACAACCAGCAAGTCAATTGTCTAACAAGATAGAGCGATTTGGATGTGAGCTGTCGGCGCGTTCGAACGTATTGCTCTCGATTGCTCCATCTTATATCTTTTACGATGTTCTGTTCTGCATTCTTGATCAATAAACGCTTCTTGTTTCGGAAATGCGTGTGCGCGTGCGCGAGCGCGACCTCGTAAATCGGCGGTGCGGGCACAACGATATGTTAACGATACTCCAATTTCATTGTATCGCATCTTTTATATTAAGTGTACGAGGGCAAATCAATAAGTATCCGTGTTAGTAATGAAGACGCAAGCTTTACACAAAAATTTTTTTTATTTTTCAACGTAATCCTCTTTTAGGAGACACTTTTCCCAACGCTTCTGCCATTTTTTTAACCCCTCAGAAAAATACGATTTGTCGAACTCTGCAAAATAGGCCTCTGTTTTGGCGATGACCTCCTCATTCGACGTGAATTTCTTTCCACCGAGTCATTTTTTCAAGTTTGGAAATAAGAAGAAGTCACAGGGGACTAAATCCAGTATGGTGGATGCGGCAGCAATTCGTAGCACAATTCGTAGCGCAATTCGACCAATTTGACACCAAGCGGAGACTGCGGAGGAGTGAGCTGGTGCATTGTGAGCAATCGCGGCACCCATCGGGCCGACAGCTTTTTCATTCCCAAGTTATCGTGCAAAATATTGAATGCCGTTCCGTATGACACGCCTACGGCCTCTGCTACTTCATGCACTTTCGTTTGGCGATCAGCGAGAATCATGTCGTGGATTTTTTCAACGATTTTCTCAGTAACCACATCTGCCGGGCGGCCTGAGCGCTCCTCATCAAAAACAGACGAACGATCACGTTTGAATTTGTTGAACCAATATCTGACGATTGTCATAGATGGTGAAGAGTTCTCATAGACGGCATCGAACTTCGTTTTTATTTCTTCGCACGTTTTTCCATCCAAAAATAAGAAACGAATTACGGATCGATATTGCTCTTTTTCCATTGTATCGGAAAACATCAAATACGCTCACTATGAATTGCTGTCAAATCAAGACTATTGCATGAATCACTTTGAAATTTTGTATGGCGTCGTTTGAAAGATGGTAGTACACGATGATAATGCCAACTTGCATCAGCAAGTCGCCTGTCTTGAAACACGGGTACTTATTGATTTGCCCTATACGTTACAGATTTTATCATTACACTGAGGAAGATCCAATCAAAATGTCTGTAATTTTTCTTAAAAATTAAATATACGAATTTACACACGTCTAATCTATGTTGGCTCGCATTGGCTAATTTCACATTAATTTTTATTAAATTCTTTTTGTATGTGCCAAGGCTTTTACTTCAAAATAATAATATAGATTATACAATAAATGGTTACTCCTCACAATATCCTACACAGAAAAAAATTTGGGACTCTGACAATACACAATAAAAAACATTATTTATGTTAAAACAAATTCTTGTTAAAATTTTTGTGTTGAATTTTTAATATATCTATTTAATTTAACATAATATGATTGTGTCTTTTGAATATTTTATGTAATAATCAAAATTTAATGTTTCTCAACAACAATTTATAAATATGTAAACAAATAATATAAAAATAAGGTAGTTATAAAACATAAATTCTAAAAATAAATTAATAGAATGCGTTGATTTAATATATTATATAAAATATTAATTTTACTGAAAAAATATATTCTCTACAACTAGTTACATACTTTATATGTAGAATGTGCAGATATTTTGTGTTATTTTCTCTTTGTAACAGTAAATATATGTATATTGCATATGTTAAATATCATAGAGGCATCGCCTGAACTAAAAAATGTGTAAGAATAGCATCTAATTTCAGTTAAATTTAACATTATAAATGTGTCAATTTAACCTAAAATTTGTTTTTAAATTATGTCAAAGTATTATGCTTGTGTTAATTTTTTACACAATATTTGTGTTATTTTATAACATATTCATCTTATGTTAAATTAACACAAAAATTTTGCTGGACCGCTTGGGATATGTGAAATGTGTTACATTTAATACAAAATTTTTACTGTATACCAATGTTCGAGCGAGTTCAGTTCCATGGTAAAAGTACCGATTAAGGGATCCAATGCCCTTGACCTATATGATATTATCAAGCCTATGACCCTGAGTGACCTCCAATAGGTTTTAGTTGTCGCTCGTTATTCGTTAAAAAGTTATTAGCAGTTTAATATTTATTCCTCTGCTTTGTATGAAGAGTCAGACAACTTTAGAGAGAGAGAGAGAGAGAGAGAGAGAGAGAGAGAGAGGTAGACGAATTCAAGGAATAAAACTTTCCACGCAAAGTGACTTTCATCCCACCTCCCTTGCCAAGGGATGCACGACTTTCCATGCGAAACGGCTAAGCGAGATGGGGTGGAACTCGCTTCATATGGAAAATCGTGCGGCCTTTAACAGAGGGAAGGTAAGATTAAACTCTCGCTTCGCGTAGAAAGTCGCATGCCCCTTCGCAGGAAGGGAGATGGGGTGAAATTCACTTCACGAGAAGTGAGACATCCCTCAGCAGTAAAAGGAAGTCAGACACCCCTTAGCAGTAAAGGGCCACCAAACTGCCATGGTTTTTGTGTTACTAGCATTTGTAGTGCCCTCATAGCTATGACAACCGGAAATGAGGAACTAATATTTTGGCCGGCATCTTTATCGCTACATTTATCACATGCTACGTTTGGTTATGTTGTGTTCATTACGTTTCATTGACTTCGTTAGCTTTTGTATGCTTTTGTATAGTGTTGCGTTAATTGTATCGTGTCTGAATACAGCATCCTTACTGGAATACAGGCGACAACGAAAATGTCGCGACAACGATACTGTCTTTATCAAGCAGTTTCAACTAAATTTTCGATAAAAACAGAATGACGATTATCTCCTTTTCGTTGTCCCAGCAAGGATGCCGTATTCAGACACGACGCAATTGATGCAACACTACACAAAAGCATACAAAAGCCAACGAGTCAACGCAATGCAATGAACACAATGTAACCAAACGTAGCATGTGGCAAATATGGCGATAAAGATGCCTGTCAGAATGTGCCGGAAACGATGACCGTATTG